TTGTGAGTGTATGTCAACCTGTGTGTCAACTATTTGGTTGTACAAATAGCATGACTCAAAATTTTAATCTATATGAAAAATAGAGTATTATTCATATATATTTCATTTTTAATGTGTCTAGACCCTCACGCATATCTATTTATAAACAAATACTAGTATACCATGTTAGCTTTTCTCTAGAGGAGGAAGAATTTTATCTTTTATATCGTGCCCATGTAGGCTAAATTTATTTTTAATTAAGAGTCCATTTTTTGAAAAAAAAAATTGTATTTTGAAATAGTAATTTGATGGAGAATGTGTTGTTTAAAATAAGGAAAATTTTGGATTTATGCGTAATTTTATTTTATTGAAAAATGTGTGGTTGAAAAGAAGAAAAAAAAATATATTTTGAAAAAAATAAGAATCAAACAAAGCCTAATGGTGTGAATTTTTCTTAAATGGGTGAGTCGGAATCAAAAAATGCATTTTGGAATAGTGATTTGATGGAGAATGTGTGGTTAGAAATAATGAAAAGTTTTGAATTTAAGTGTGTTAAGGGATAAAATCTCACATCGAATAAAGATGAAAATATAGACCAATTTATAAGAGTTTGGGCTACCCCTCTTAACAATATTGACCTTTTAAGATGGAATCTCAAATTTTAACATAGTATTAGAACTCGTGAAACTCTAACGAACAATTCGATCCAATTAAAACTAAAAAAAATGAGTACACGAATTTTAAGATTAGTCCGTTCAAAACGAGCCACCATCTTGAGAGGGTATGTTAAGGGATAAAATTTCACATTGAATAAAAATAAAAATATAGACCAATTTATAAGAGTTTGTATTATTCCTCTTAACAAAGTTGACCTTTTAAGATGTAGCCCCAAATTTTAACAAAGTGTAATTTTATTTCATTAAAGAATGTGTGGTTAGAAAGAAGAGAAAGAAAAATATATTTTGAAAAAAATGAGAATCAAACAAGACCTAAAGATTTGACCTGTGGATTTTTCTTAAGTGGGTGAGTTGGAGAATATTTGAATACAAGGTCCCTTATTTGTGGATATACTATGTTGGTTTCATCTTAAAATAAAGAATAATATATTAGAGATGAAGAATTTATTTATAATATACACGTACAAATTAGATTCACTTTTAAAATCAAAGACCGAAGATATAGTTTTTTGTAAACGGGTGATACTGATAACAAAAGGCTCATATATGGTTTACTCATGTTTAGAGGATGTTTGGTGCAGATTAAAATCAGATTCTAAGTGGATTGTGATAAAAGTTTTTGAAATGTGTGGTTGAAAAGATGTGGTTGATATTGATTGTTTGACTTTGACTTAAATTAAAATCAGATTAAAATTTGGCCCAAACAGTTATAAATAACAATTTTGATTGATCTTTAAGTATTTAAGATTTAGACAAGTTGATAGATTCTCTTGGAATGGGGTGTCCAATAACAATTTAAATTCATAGATTTTCTAAAATTAACAGAGAAGAAAGAGACCTGAATTTCTGAGTGAAGTATACCATGAAGTGCCGTAACCTGGTATGCACAATATCTCAAAACTGCACCAACCTTGACATACTCTAACCATGGATAAAAGAAATGCCGAAACCTGCCATGTGGTGGCTCCCATTTTGCTGAAATGCCCTAATTCATAAAACCGAAAGATGAAATAATTGTTGTGGCTTTCTCTCTCCAATTCAATAATATGCGGTTTTAAAAGTTCGGATATGTTGAGTAAGCAGTACTAAACATAAGGTATGCATGGTATGGTTCGATTTCTAATGGAAATTTTGTAATGTCGTGTAAGCAGTTCTAGACCAAATTTTGTAATGGAAATCGCGAACTAGATCAGAACCGTACTGTCATTTCTAAGAACCGGAACCAGATAATTTTAACTAGAATTGAACCAAACCGGCTAATTTGGTCTTGTACAGGTGGTTCGGGATAAAAATGCCAAGTTTCCCACTCTTAATTAGACAGTATGATGAGCCGGATTTTAGCTTCCATTTCCTCGCTAATACTGTCCAATTAAGGTATAACATTGTGCAGTCCACCTTACCGAACAAACCTTGAAACCTGTGAAGAAAGGAGAAAAGATCTCTATGTATTATCTGATTGAATATAATTAGTACCAAAGTTTCAAGTTTGGCAGAGGAATTCAATATGGATCTGCATTTTCTGTATGCAGGTTCATCAGGAAACTCATCCATGACAGTCTTTGAGAATTCTTGATGTTCTGATCCATCATCTTCCAAGTACTTCTTCACACATTCTGCAATGGATTTAACAGTACAGAAAATGGAGAACAGAGAGATATATGTCTAAAGCATGTTTGGACAAAATTTTAATTTGTTTATTCTTTTTTGCTTTCATACTATCCATTACTTTACAATCGACTCTACCAAACAAGCCATAAAGGGTCGATGTGTTCATAGATTAGTATACCTTCAAGTGCATCAGCCACTGAATTGAAGTTATCGACGAGTTCTTTGTGTAACTGTTCCCCAGCCCATATAGGGAAAATGAATACATTTACCGCTACTGCTATGATCCCTCCAATGGCTATTGAGTAAAGCCGATCCAGGGCTGTTCTGATTGGGTTCCCCAATCGATAGCCGGAGACAATGATCAAACCGTAGGTGAAAATTATAACTCGAAATCCAGCTTCATATGGCACAAAGGATGGCAGTAACTTCATGAATGATGTTACAACCCCTACAAAATGTTAAACCAGATTTCTCATTAGTCATATGAGTTTGCCTTTCGTTGTGGTAATGATGGTGGTTGAGGCTGTTGGATTCGTTGGAGCTCACTTATCCCTCGATTGTGAATGGGGGTATTCGAGAACCCGAGCCCCTAAGGTGAATTTTCTTTATTATGGAGATATATGGATGATTCGTATATTTGTATTAGGACGTCCTAGATTCTTACTTTATAAAGGAGTATGAAGCAAGGGCGGACCTACATGAGGCCCAGTGGGAGCCGCTGCCCCACTCAATTTTCAGATTTTTCAATTTTTTTTTTCAAATTTTCAGATTTTTTTAGTTTTTTTTGTCCATGTTTTGTTAGGTTTTCAGATTTTTTTCTATGATTTTTTGGTTTTGCTCCCACTGAACTTCCTTTCTGGGTCTGCAAGTACCATTTTTTTGTGATGTGAGACCGGAATCAACAATGGTCAGTGACCATAGCTATCAATTTGAGAGTGAACTACCACTATAAATCTGTGTGTTTGTGGTTTCCATGACCGTATTGAATTAAGTATATGAATTTCCCCGTTTTGATTGGAAAGGAAAATAATGAGCTTTTTTGTTTCGATTGAGCAAAAAAAAAAAGGAACGAGTTTGTTTTGCTGTCTTACCAACGATGAAGATGCTCACACCAATTACAATAGGCTCCGCAATCCGTCCAGTGCTCAAAGCTAACTGAGCGATAGCAATGGCTAAGATTCCCGAGACTATGGTACCAAATGCTCGGTTGAATCCTCGTTTCAATGTGGCACCTACATAGACATAATTTACATTGAGTCACCTCGTCTAAAATGTTATACTATTACATATAAAACAAATTTATTTATTTGAATTCTAGAAACGTACCAACAGTATGTTCAAACATGATGGCAACAGTGAGGATTGCCCACACAGTATTGATGCCAAAAACATGATAAGGTGCTTGGCAAAGTATTAGAAGTGATACAAGAAGAACTGCAAACCCCATTTTAAGTGAGAATAATACTCTGTTGGTATCTTCTTTGGCAAATTTCCAAACGCTCGAA